TAGAACTGTACAGTACGTAAGAAACTTCACCGTTTTCGCGAAAAAGGTAGTTGAAAGTATAGATAAATTCGATTCCGGTCCTGTTAAAGAAATACGGTTCGCAATGCTGCACTCAATCAGCTAGTGATTACCAGTTTCAGTATAGTATTTGTTTTGTAGTTTTTTTGCTTATTTGTTAGATTAGATCAAGTGTGATTCAGGATGTTTAGGTAAACAACCAACATCTAGTAGCAGTTTACTCTTTTAATGTTTAAACTTTGTATGAGGCAATCAATGATCAGGTTAACATCAATCATTAGTGTAGATAAGTCACTGTAGAAAAGTTATTGTTACAATAATGTGACATGATACGTATTTATGGATTTAAACCATATCTTCGCTGTAATTACGAATTCGTTCGATTCCAAAGAAAATAATCCCCAAAGTAGTAAACGCGAAATAGCAGGGCAAATGAGATTCTCTTATGTGCCAATTTTACAGGAGCAGTTGCTGCATACTTATTATTTGCAGCGAGCGCCAGCCTAATCGCATGTCGTACATCCAATGTTTTCGGTTAATGCGTTGTTGGGTGCAAAATTGAATATTTTAGTGCGTGAGTTTTCCGAAGAAAATTAATAGAGATTCGAAGTAATAAAGAGACAAATTATAATGTAAAATCCGCATTTAAATATCTAGTTAGAGAAATTAGAGTTAAAGTAAACAAACAACAAACGTTGTTTATTTTGAAAGAATTAGTAAGTCGATTCATTTTCCCTTTTGACGGTCGTCGTAGTATTGCAATATTTTCGTTGTAATCGAGATGAGGAGACAAATACAGATATAATCACTCTCTTCGACAGCATGTTTGCCTAAGCAAGAGAGACAGAAAGAGCAAAGCAAATACTTGACAGCTCAGCAAAAGATTAACATCTAGTGTACGCATACAGTGTTGGGGTATTTACCTACTTACATTAAGTCCTTTTATTTTGGACGTTTACAAAGACAGCCAGCAGCTTTCGATGCATTAACTATTTCCACGTACAAACATTTTTTCTGGTAGCCGACACAAAGAATTCTAACCCGTGTTAAAGCCATTATCATTGTCCGCGGGTAAATGTTTAACCTGCAGATACAATAGCATTGTTGGCACTGCAGCCTATATTAAATGAAAATGTCTATTTCAAAATGGTTAACAAGATAAAGACACTCGATAGTGTGCAGTTGAAAAAAAGTCTCCTCTCTCCATTTGCGGGACAAAATTATGAAATGGAACTGACCTGTAGCTTAAATTCGAATATTCTGGATTGTTGTTTGATAAGAATTTTAATATAGTAAAAGCTCTTTATTCGCGGCGTATACGTTCCATAAACATGCCGCGAATACAGAAACCGTCGATATGGAATGGTAATTAGTATGGAAATATGGGGATACGTTCTAAGGTTCCAAAATAAAACCAATATGTATAAAAATAAAATCAATGTATTGATAAATTCGCAATTAAAATCAATCGTTATAATCAGGTTTAGGCAGGAATTTGAAAAATTGAGTGATTTTTTCTTGTTTTGAATTTTGAAATTAGTCCATACGGTTACAACTTTTATAAAAGTCGCCTCGGCACGAGCCAATAGTACTCGAAAGATGCTGATATATTAAGGGGATTCAGTAATACATGCTTATCGGTTCTAGATATCATGAGTTTAATGTTTGGAACAGAGGTTTGAAATTTTGTAGTAAGATAGATAAAGCTTTGTTCTAAAGCTTGTCGAAGGCCATTTATTAAGTTTTTAATTTCTATTCAAAATACGTGTCCTACATGAAGCATCAACTTTAAACATTTGTAAAAGCTTTTAATGACCGTATTATTGAAAACCGAAGACGTACCGAGTTACTGTGAGTCTTTGTCTGTTACCACACAAAAAATTATATATTTATCTAGCAGCGTTAAATCATAATGTTTAGAATAGAAACCCATGTTTTCGGAAAAATTCACACTAGGCACGAGCGGCCTACTGCGGTCAATCCCCTTAATAAATGACACCGAATCTTTTCAGTTTACCGATTGCATCCGCGAATAATGAAAATGCGAATAAGGAAACCGTGAATCAGGAACTTTTACTGTACTTAAAGTAAAAACTTTATAAACTTTACTGGCCCTGATTCTTTTTACTAAAAATACTTCATTAATTTCTATTCTCCGTCCTGTGCTATTCGCCCAGAGACAGGTCAATAAAACTAAATAACTGAGCTCTACATAAAGTGCTGCTACAACAAATTGCATTCAGCATCGGCTGTTTAGGTGAGGCCACTTGACAGTTGCAGAGTTGCAAACGAGGTTGTATGCAGTCCACAATCAAGTGTGGTCTACTGTACGTTGGAATTCCTATAGTACACTAATGAGAGTTAATAAGCTCGAAATCGCAATCTACATTGGGTCCCTTCTACCCACATTTTACAAGTATTTGCTATGAAATTCAATGCTGAGGACGATATCCGACCACAGAATTGTATCTACGAGTAAAATAATTTCACTGTATGCAAGCTGCATGTAATCGAAACAAAAAGGACACGTTTGCATTTGTGATCGTAGTTTTGCTTAAGATAAGTTAAATTTATACAATTATCAACTTGAAATTGATAATCAAATGAGACTTCCTAAATATATAAATAGAAACATCTGCTTTGTGACTTGTTGACATGCTTTATTTTTTGAATAAATCAATGCTCATTAGGTTGTGCACATTCCAATCACCTTGAAGATTATTGCTCGTTATTTATCAAGTCGAAATATGGTTTTTTATGAAACTTAACTGCAGTATTGAGTTCAGGCCCTGAATTAATATTAAAATATTAAATAAAACACCCAAAATACTTATGAAAAACAGGAATATTCAATTTTCGTTATACTAAGTTTTGAAAACTAAAAGTAATTTTTAATATAGACGATATGAGTTTGTTTACTTGTTATTTTGTTACCATTTTACGTCTTAATTACTCAACCTATTATCATGAAATTTTGTACACACATTGTCAGGAACACAGAAAGGCATATAGGGTACCTTTTATTCATAAAAGGATACTGTTCCAGAGGGATAGAGAAATTAGTTTTATGTGGTCGACGATAATCCTTGACACGTATTTAGGGCAGCAACGCAAGCGAAGCCGCGGGTAAAACCTAGTAGTTTTATAAATTAACATGAGGAAAATGTCAAGACAAGTTTATTTTTGTATTTTCCTGGATAGTTAAATTAATATTTTACTAACAATAATTTTCTATTGCAAAAAATGTAGAAAGAACTACTACTGTACGTAATAAATCGTTAAATCGAAATGTAATTCCAATTCTGCCAGATTATGATTAACATTCAGTAGGTTTAACACAATTTGGGTTTTCCGAACTTGTCAAATTAATCAAGGGATTAAATGGCGAATCCCTTCGAGAATTTTGCTAAACATAATACGTACGGTGTAGTTTGTCTCTGTTTATCTAAACGTTAAAGCTCTAATTAGTAGTGGGAGTGCACTTCTGGCATACTTGGTGTTATCGATAACAAGCAATTGCATAAGTTATTATTAACTCCGAACTGTTGTCTGAACAGAAGCTTCCCTTCTGTAACAAGTGAATAATAATACCAATATACGTATAAGCAGGAGCTTTAGAAGTTCATGATTTACAGTGTAGCGCTTTCTCTCTCCAGCTGTTATTGATTCTCCAAAGAAATGTTTGATCCATTTGCTACATAATGTGATGATCCTATTCGAAAATTATTTAGTAGTTTGAAAACTTATTAAGTGAATTTTTCGCCCTTTATTTTTAAGCCCGTAATTGTGACGCAATGACCTTCTGTTATTTGTATGTTATTATTACCTTGTAGTAAAATACAATTTGAGGATCTACCGGATTATATGTCCACTAATTGCTATTGATACAAATTTACTTTCGATCATTTCATTGCTTATATTTTTTTATTTCAGGAGTCTTTGGCGTTGTCAAACTAAAGGAATCGATAAGCAGGTTGGCTCAAGGAGAACTGTTCTGCATGTTCAATGATTACATGAAGGGATAGGAAGCTGGAAGTGTACAATGTTCAAAACTTTCGAAAATTAACTCGTCTTAACGACCGAAGCTTATCATGTTGAGGACGAAGGTAAGGCTTGGAAAAGTAAACGACCAGATTGAATATTAAACCTGCCGGTGCTTAAAAGACTCAACAATGCTATTAAGTATCACTTGTTCTCACTTAATTAACTTCCAGACTTTTAGTGATGAGAAGGTTTCCTAGAAATCTGAAAGAGTTTGTGATAATTAAAAGCGTTAAACGTATATATGCATGAACCATTAATTAGTGCGTATAAACTTAGTATAACCTAAACTCTCTATAGCAAAACTATTCATATAACGAAGATAGTCTGAATCACTATACGACAAAAACACAGAAGTTATTTTAACTTCACCTTATTAAGAGAAACGTTACCAAATAATTAATGTTGTTGATTGCGTTCTCCATTCTGAAGGTGTATTTCTTTTGTCACGTTGAGAGTAAAATTTCAGTAGGATACGCGCGCGCAGCCCGCAACGGAAACGATAATAGAAACGGAAATTCCGCGTGGAGCCGTGGAGAACTTGTACGCGGTAAAAGGTAAATTCCACAAACCATTGTATTAACGACACCAAGTTTTTAATTTTTTATCGTGAATTTGAAACCGTAATTGTCTTCTCTTGGTCTAGAGCATTAGTAAATGTACATCAATTGCGATCTCTATTATACTGTTGTGGAAAGTATCACATCTTCATCGCCAGGCTTATAAGCTTCATCATTTAAATAAAGCAGCCGCATGAAATACAAATAGCTGTTGGTACACGTATCTAGAGAGCGATTTATAAAGTCATTGTGTTGATATTCAGAGTTGGCAGACAAAGGTTATTGCGATTCACGAAATACCGTTTTACTTATTATCCTTGACCTACAACTTTCTCCCTCTTCCTATAGCGAAAACAAGTGACGAGCGTGCTTTAAATGCAAACATTTCTGCGATTTCGCTTAGGCGGAGTAGTAATTTGTGTATATGGTCATAAAGCAAACCATCCGTGTTGTAAATTTAAAGTGCGTAAACATTATTGGTTAGGTGGGTACGATTAGCGAAAATTGTCCGCATATATGAGCCATTTGATGGAGAACACGGAGCACGCTTAAATTGGCAATTAAAAATACGAGTAGTACACTTGAAACCTGCTTTCTATGCCGGAGATCCGACGATTTACGAGTAAATCTGAACTACTGAAACTTTTACTGTATACTTGATTTAAGAGTAGGTATTTCTGTAAATTAGCTGCGGTAACTTGTTTATTAAGTATTTAATTAAAACACTTCTCACGCAGTTCGTACAATATACCTCTAAGTTGCAATAACAGTAAAAGTTAATTAAATGAATAATGACTTAAATATAAATTCGCTTACCTTGTTACAAAGGATTTAGCAGCCACACTGACTCGTAAACGATGACGGATATGGGGAATTTTACGCAACCCAAGGTCATGACCCATGAGATTCTAAGCTACCTCTAATATAAATGCATTTTTCAGCAGAAAGAATAATGCTGCTATAGACGTTATGTTATCGATCTTATGTGTTTCATGTGAAAATATAATGTAGCTAATGTTGATCTAAGTTCACTAGGTAATTGGTACTAATATGAATGTTTTTAATCGTCCCCCTTATTCGAAAATAAATAATGAATCTGATATAATGAAATGCTTCGTCGATATTCTTAATTTAAAGATATTTGTTTGAAAAGATATTTGTCTCGTAGTTTACAATTTCTTTTATCTTTACATTATAGATATTCAATATAGAGAAGATGCGTCGAAGTCCTATAAAAGGATGCAGTACCATAAAGGGATTGCTAGAATTTCCACATAAATATTCATTAACGTATCGCAAATTTAACGACCTACTGATTTATAGTAATTTTATAGCATCGTTATATGTTTCTTTGTATTTAAAACTTCCTGCAACCTTAAAATTGTTTATGTCAATTTCCTTTTAAGAAATACAAGTACGCATATGGACAATACTTAATAATATTTGCGAATATCCAGAAACTTAACTGTTTTGCCGATAAAATATGTGCCATGGTATTTTCTTAGTAAATACTTTCTCTCGTAAATTTATTAAGTACTAATGTTTTTGAATTTTTTAATGTACTTTCTATGAAATATAACGCAAATATGGCTTTCACAGATTTTCATTTAATACCACCATTAATGACTCGCATTGTAGATTTATTATTGAATATTATTACTGAAAAGGCTTAATTAAATTTTCAGTTATGTATTTTAACTTTATGTGTAATAAGAGTACGCAAATAGTAAATTAACAAATATATAAAAGTTTAAAGTACCTTTTTGAAGAGTTTTAACGATTTCCTAGCATCAACTCCTGTAAAATTCAATTCTGCATGTTGGTTTCGTAGAGTAATATTTTTCTTGTTCTCTAACGAAATTATGGAAAATTAGATAGTTTTATTCTCCACAGAGAAATAAACCGTAAAAAAATTGAATAAGAAGATGTAGGCACAATACCGAGAAGCTAACAAATAACAATGTTGTTGCTTCATGCATAAAAAGCTTGAAACAGTTCGCAAACAAATAAAAAATTATACAGGGAATTTTTTTTGGATTTGGTTTCGAAAGATTTATTTGCTTCAGACGAAATAGAAGAAAACAATTTTTAGAATAAATAGAACATTTCAAACTGGTTTTTTTATTATACAAAGTACCAAATACCCAAGGAATCTATTTATGCCACTAAAAACATTTTTTCAAACAATTGAGAACTGAGATTCGCGTTGTGAAAGTTATTCAACATAAATCCTTATTTTATTAATTCATGTCACAATTTAGTAATAACCAATTTTCAATATTTAATTACGTAATTAAATAAGTAGGTACGTGTTGTTTAAAGCCATTTCGTGTAACTCAGAGTGCCGTAATGATAGTGAACCTTTACACTTTTAAAAACACCATTTAAAAACATGTCAGTGTTTATTTCCTTACGTAAGGAAGTTGTAGCAATGAAGCTCCCGCATGACGCGTGATAAAATTTACTTTCCCTTGCCTTTACAAATACCTACCAGCATTACTATTAGCGATTGCGATTTAGAAGTGATTTTTATGGAGGTAACGACTAATAAGGAATTACTACCGCGCCAGTAACTTAAATTGCTTAAAATGACGTAAAGAAAAAGCATGGGAAAATAACGTCTTATCAGCTTTCACCACTGATGCACCTCCATCAGAGCCATCACATGCACACTTGTTAACAATTATTATGTCATTAACAAACATGGCATTAAACGGTCATTTACATCTATAGCTGTGGATATTAGTACAAACAACAGACTAAGTGTTTTGATAAATAGTGTTTCTTGCATCACTGTTTTTGTTTGCTGGCTGAATCGATTAGGATGTATTTAGTAGATTAGTTTTTGTAAATATTGAACAGAATTAATCATCATCATAAAGTCGTCAGTCCTAAGATTGGTTGAACACGTACCTCCATTCCTTCCTATCCTGAGTCAACCTTCGCATTTCCCTAAAACTAAAACATCCCATATCCTTAACTATTTGTAAACAATAGGGAATCTAATTTACGTCTACCTCTACCCCTCTTAACCCCTGTTTCTGCTTCTAGTATGTTTCTGATTAGCCCTTCATGTCTGAGGTGTTCTAACAACCTATTTCGCCTATTTCTTATTGACTTCATTCATTCACCTGTTCTCCGATATGTTTCATTACTTCTTCATTTCTAACCTTCTCTATCCACGTTATCCTGATCATTAGCCTATAACACCACATTTCGAACGTCCATGTTTCGCACCCGTACAGTGCCGCGTACAGTCTTTTCCGAATTTCTAAATTAACCGTTCGCGATTTGTATATAATATATTCTGATAAAATTCTGTAAGTTTTAGATATAATGATGTCTTGTTTACCTGTCTTTTTCTGGCAAGTAATATCGGGCAGTCTGCCTATCAGTTTCATAATTTCTAGATTTTTAAGGGTTTACTAATTGCATTTCTATTACGACACAATGATAAAAGCATTTTAGTTTACCGTTATTTCCATTAATTGATTAACTTTTTTCTTTTATTTCATGATGATCCAAAGAAATGGTTGCAAAGTTTGGTTAAAATATCGTAACCAAAATAACAGCTTGTAGGTGATATTCTATTATGAGGATTTGCATTTTTCGCAATTTGCTAAAATGATTGGAATAATTTTATTAAATTTTTTGACAAAATAATATTTGGTGTGATGTTTATTATTCGAGCAATTTTGAATCGATTTCCAAACAACAAATTTTTATATACGAAGGAGATAAGAGGGCAGATTCAAAACCCATCATAAAAAGCTTATCCATGTTTGATAATACAGAAACACATTCTGGTAAATAAAACAGCATGTGTCTAGTCAGATAATGCACAGATAAAGCAAAATATTTACCGAGCATGAAAAATAATACACTGTCGGAATTTTTTTCTGTTTACGTCACACGAGCAAAAATGCGTAATTTGGTGAACGTGTTGAATATGTTTTCTCAACCTGTCTGTCTATATGAAAATACCACATGTTTCTGTAAAAGTTGCCCTAACTAATCAAACTCTCAAAATCGATTGAACAATGCGCAACACCCGCCAAATCTTTAAAATACATTTATTGGACTTTTATTGATTCATTATTTAATAAAAGAAGACATACCTGAGATAAAAATGTTCAGTCTCTCAGAGTCTCTGAAAACGAGACTCGAGTCTCCGTCTCTCATCGAGTCTCTCTGGTGTCGCTGAGAGAGACTGTCGAGAGACTGTCAAAAAAACTATTTAGCGCCTCTGAACGAGAGATTCGAATCTCTGAATGAGAGATTTGAATTTCTCAATAAGTATAGTCTCGATAGACATGGTTAAAATTTTTAAGTTCAACATATTTCAGAGATTCCAGTCTTTCTACGAGACTACAATCTCTGAATTGACAATTTTATCGTTCGAATCTCTCATACAGAGACTGTGAGAGATCCATAAAAACACCTGACAATGACTGAGAGACTGTGAGAGACGCTGAAAGACTCTGAGAGTTTGGAGAGAGACTGGA